TTAAATTATTTAAAATACAAATAAAAACCAATGTAATATCTCAATTGATCTTGATATTTTAGACTGACCGGAGGCCGTATTTCTACATTATGTTGTTGGCTATGTATGCAAGGGCGAAATAAGTGCCAATGAAGCCAAGGATATATTTTGTAAACTCATAAATAGTGAGCTTCCGGAAGGAACCTGTTTGCGGTCCCTCGCAGTACGGTTGAATATGGCGATACTTAAGTCTAGTAAAGTGAGTGCAGACGAAGCCACCATGTGTGTGAGCGGAGAGAATATGTACATGTGTACACGTACATTTCTTAGAGTGTCACTAGATATATACAGAAGACGTGTTAGAAAAAGCAAAGGTGGCAACAGAGATGAGGAAGCAGGAGATGGTATCGATAGTGATAGTGTATTACAAACGAACACTTTCGACGAATATCTCGCTTCCTAACAGAAAATAGACGATGAATGGCCTGAAAAGGGTTTAGATGATCCCACAAAGACATTAGCATACTCATTTCATGATTATAATGTAGGCAAGATATCTGACAAGAACGGTATACTTGTTTAGTATTATGGTACTCAGTACGCTATATGGCCACTAGAGGGTAAATATTGCAAGACAATGGTTTTATTACATGACAAAAGTTTACGCGACAGTGACTTTATGACAGTCAATGAGAGTGCTAGCAAAGAACGTATGTGGTGCTTGTTAGAGAACAAGCTAGTACCGCCATATGTACGAAATGCAATAGTTAGAGCAGCAATTCAAGCTACTTACCACACTGATACTATATTAGCAAGTATCGGTGGCACAGGTGCATCTATCGCCAGTGATGGTCGTAGACCGGGTGCGGAAATCGACACACCGATAGATAATCTTGGCGATGATGATGCGGCAGCTTTGATTGCTAGAGGTGAGCATTTAGCGGAAAATGATGAAGAATTGGTTGTAACTGATTACAATGAGGCAGTACAAGGTAGTATACCACTGATTGATAGAACCTGGCTTGGAAATCGCTCTAAGGAAGAGTTAGAGGGATTGAGCGATATTGTAAAGGACTTATTCTATGCATTGTATAATTCGGTCTATCGAGGCGATATTAACGCCTTAGAGTAATTAAAAGTTTAGGTTAAGTGTATCGTGAAATTCAGAGTATGTAAACGAAATGAGTCTTTTGGTAAAGTTA